CCCCTACACGGATTCCTTTTCACTGAAGAAAGTGCCCCGGTGGAAAACAACCGTTTGAAAATCCAGAACTATGCCAGAACACCGTTCCTGGGACATTCATGCCGCGAATCACCGTTCCTGGTGCGTCTTGACGATCCGGAATCGCACCAGAACGCAATTCCTTGGCCTTCAACACCGCGAATCAACGTGATTATTGCGCTCTGGCATTCCGACATCATGCCAACACACCCCTTCTGGAATGTCAACTCTGATAATACTTGAATCTGCTGCCAGCTCTCAAGACGAATGTACGCGGCGCTAGCGCAACACCAACACTTTGCACAGGATCCGCCGTCCATCCGTGAAGCGCTTGCAACTGTTTAAATCGGATGTGCGCGGTGTTACGGCGAGAGCCGCAGTTTGAACAAGAACCACCCTCCACCGTGAAGCGCTTGCAAGTTAAGCTTCAAGGTCATAAACGGTAAGGAAATCTCAGGCGAAACGCGCGGCCCACCCTTTCGACTGGCATCGGCGTGCGACAGGGAGGAGTTACCTATAGGAGAAGGCATGGAGGAGGAGGTGCAGCAAGAAGAACAGGAGGAGGAGGAGGAGGAGGAGGAGGAGGAGGAGGAAGAGCAGGATGAAGAGGCGGAGGAGGAGGATGAGGAGGAGGGGGAGGAGGAGGAGGAGGGAGGAAGTGGCGAGGAGGGTGGAGGACTGAGAAAAGCGACGGGAAAGGAGGCGGAGGCGGAAAGAGGAGGGAGAAAGTGAATGAGAAGAGGAGGAAAGAGGGAAGGTGTAGACCCCTGAAACATTTGCCACTGGACGTCTCGAAGGGTGCGTTCCGAGCATCATTCCAGGGGGAACGCACCCGTGGCGACGAGGAGACGCCCCCGCCTAGGGGGAATAAGTCCGCAAACCTGGAACCTCGATCCTCAAACCTCGATCCCACTGCTCCCCCCGCTCCACCGAAGGCTCCAGTGGCACAGGCAGCATGCGTCAACGCCACCCAGGACAGCGCTTCGTGGCACCATAGGGAGCTCCACCGAAGGCTCCAGTGGCACAGGCCGCATGCGTCAACGCCACCCAGGACAACGCTTCGTCGCCCCATAGGGAGCTCCACCGAAGGCTCCAGTGGCACAGGCCGCACGCGTCAACGCTACCCAGGACAACGTTTCGTGGCCCCGTAGGGAGCTCCACCGAAGGCTCCAGCGGCACAGGCCGCATGCGTCAACGCCACCCACCACAGCGCGTCGTGGCCCCATAGGGAGCTCCACCGAAGGCTCCAGTGGCAAAGGCCACACACGTCAACGCCACCCAGGACAGCTTTTCGTGGCCCCATAGGGAGCTTCGCCGAAAGCTCTGGAGGCACAGGCCGCATGCGTCAGCGCCACCCAGGACAACGCTTCGCGGCCCCGTAGGGAGCTCCACCGAAGGCTCCAGTGGCACAAGCCGCATGCGTCAACGCCACCCAGGACAACGCTTCGTCGCCCCATAGGGAGCTCCAAAGGCTCCAGTGGCACAGGCCGCATGCGTCAACGCCACCCAGGACAACGTGTCGTGGCCCGATAAGGGGGCTCCACCGAAGGCTCCAGTGGCGCAGGCCGCATGCGTCAACGCCACCCAGGACAGCGCTTCGTGGTCCCATAGGGAGCTCAGCCGAAGGCTCCAGTGGCACAAGCCGCATGCGTCAACGCCATCCAGGACAGTTTTTCGTGGCCCCATAAGGAGCTCCACCGAAGGCTCCAGTGGCACAGGCCGCATGCGTCAACGCCACCCATGACAGCGCGTCGTGGCCCCATAGGGAGCTCCACCGAAGGCTCCAGTGGCACAGGCCGCATGCGTCAACGCCACCCAGGACAACGTTTCGTGGCCCCGTAGGGAGCTCCACCGAAGGCTCCAGTGGCACATGCCGCATGCGTCAACGCCACCCAGGACAGCGCTTCGTGGCACCATAGGGAGCTCCACCGAAGGCTCCAGTGGCACAGGCCGCATGCGTCAACGCCACCCAGGACAACGCTTCGTCGCCCCATAGGGAGCTCCACCGAAGGCTGCAGTGGCACAGGCCGCATGCGTCAACGCTACCCAGGACAACGTGTCGTGGCCCCGTAGGGAGCTCCACCGAAGGCTCCAGCGGCACAGGCCGCATGCGTCAACGCCACCCAGGACAACGCTTCGTCGCCCCATAGGGAGCTCCACCGAAAGCTGCAGTGGCACAGGCCGCACGCGTCAACGCTACCCAGGACAACGTTTCGTGGCCCCATAGGGGGCTCCACCGAAGGCTCCAGTGGCACAGGCCGCATGCGTCAACGCCACCCAGGACAGCGCTTCGTGGCACATAGGGAGCTGCACCGAAGGCTGCAGTGGCACAGGCCGTTTGCGTCAACGCCACCCAGGACAGCGTTTCGTAGCCCCATAGGGAGCCTCGCCGAAAGCTCCAGTGGCACAGGCCGCATGCGTCAACGCCACCCAGGACAGCGCTTCGTGGCCCTATAGGGACCTCCACCGAGACTGGAGCTCCACCGAAACCGGTACCCACAATGCGGTACTCACAACTGCATATGGTTCGGTCCTCGTCAGGCTAATTTGATTGTTTTTGTGGGGGGAAACGACCAAGCGCGGACCCTACCTCACACGCCCAGCAAACCCGGGCCCCCCCCCGGTCGGATTGCACCAGTACAATCGCGAGTTAATTTGCACGCGTTGCACGAGAGGGCCGAACGCCACCGCACACGTCCCGCACGACAGGAAAAGGGGCAAGGAGGAGGAGGAGGAGGAGCAGGAGGAGGAGGAGGCGAGGAGGAGGAGGAGGAGGAGGAGGAGGAGGAGGGAGGACAAGGAAAATGAAGAAGACGACCATCGCCAAACAAACAGGGTGCGACGCTAGCACGTACAGGCGAGAATGGCAATTGCCGTGGGGCTGCTCTGCCACTCCGAATTGCGACCCGAAACTTGCAAAAACCTGGAGAAAATAACCGTGCCGTTTGGGGGCCCGGCAAAGAAACGGCATGATTCTTTCCCTGCGTTTTTCCACACGGAATTTCCAACTTCCAGTGTTCCAGAACTACGTTCTGCTTCCTTCCTGCTGTACATGCGTTACTGTCAGCGCGAGAGGGCCGAAAATCACCGGGGCTACCATCCGTGAGTCTCGTTTCTGAGGGGGCCTGGGACACATAAAAATGCACCAAGCTCGCCCTCCCGAGGTCAGAGTCCCTTGTGACTTACCCAAAATCGCGCTCCCGAGTCCCGAAACCTTCGAATAAATAGCACCAGATTCGCTATCCTGAGGCCCGAATCTTTCAATGAATTACGCCCGGTTCTTGCTCCTCAGGCTGGAACTCTTCGTAAATTACGGTCGGTTCGCAATCCCAGGGCTAGAACCCCTTCCAAATTACACCAGACTCGCGCGCCTGAGGCCAGAACCCTTCGCGAATTACCCCAGACACGCCCTCCCGAGGCCACGATCCCTTGTCAATGACGTCAGATTCGCGCTCCGGAGGCCAGAACCCATCATCGATTACACCAGGTCCGCGCACCCGAGCCACAATCCATTTTTGTAGATTGCGCAAGATTCGCACCCCGAGGCCAGGATCCATCACACTATGCCAGGCTTGCGCCCCCGAGCCACAGCCCCCTTCAACTTTTTCCAGAATCGCGCCCCCGAGGCCACAATCCCTGGCAAATTATGCCAGGTTCGCAGACCCTAGGCCACGATCCATGGCAAATTACACGAGCTTCGCACCTCTCCGAGGTCACAATCTCTTGCAAATTACGCCAGGCTCGCGCCCCCGAGGCCACGACCCCTTTATAAATGGTGCTGCGATTACCAAGCCGTCCTCGCATGAGCGAGGTTCTGATATTGCTTCGAGTCGGTGCCCATGCACCCCAACATAGCACTGGCATGTCCCATTCGGGGTCCAGCAGCAGATGGCAAAGCTCTTACGGATATACTATCCAAGCTTTTGGCTCCTTAGAGTCACCCCAGACGGCGCTGTGCTTCTAGGCGTTTCTAAACAAGCGACATCGTTTTTGTTTCACGCCCCAAGAGGCCTCCAAGAGCACACCCAAGAGGGCCCCAAGAAGCAACAATCATTGATTTGTCTATGGTTTCTGGAGGGTTTTGGCGTTCTCGCCATTTGGGCCCCCCGACAATCCAAAACGGCCCAAGAGGCCCCGAAGATCGCCCCAAGACGGCCCAAGAGGCCCCCAGGGGGGCTCCAAGACGGCCCAGGAGGGCACCAAGACGGCCGAAGAGGCCCCCGGGACGGCCCAAGAGGGAGGGGACCCAGACGGGGAACCCGAACGGACATTTCGAGATTTCGGTCTCAAGAGGCCCCCAGGAGGACCTAAGAGGCCCCCAGGAGGCTCCCAAGAGGCCTCAAGAGGCCCCAAGAGCCCCCAAGAGGGCCCCAAGAGGCTCCCAAGAAGCCCCCAGGGGGCCCCCAAGAGGCCCCTAAACTCCCCCGCAGAGGCCCCCGAGAGCCCTCTCGAGAGACCCCAAGAAGCGTCCATGAGGACTCCGACCCAAAACCCAAGCACGGTCGCGGGATGGGCCGACGGCCATTTGATAGCTGGCATTCGCGCCGCGTCACGACTTTCGATGCGGCGCACCACTTCGCCGAACTCCCAGGGAGCGGCCGGTAATGCGCCGCCGGCGTCCTCGATATACTATCCAAGCTTGTGGCTCCTTAGAGTCACCCCAGACGGCGCTGTGCTTCTAGGCGTTTCCAAACAAGCGACATCGTTTTTGTTTTGCCAACCTGGAGCCCCGATCCCCGCAGCTCTGGACCCCCTTCCCAGGACCGGCTTTTCATCCCGAGCTTTCTTTGACGGTCCTGGTGCCCAGCGAGGGCCCCCCGAATTGCGCACTCCCCCCCGTCGTGCTTTTGTTCGCAGCGCGAGCATGCCAAGGTTCCCTCATGCCGAGATTGACCCGATCCGTTCCTCACTCCCGCAAGGCGAACAGCGGCTCCCCCGCCGTCGCTGCTCGCGCCGCTCCCCCCCCCACCCCCCGGGGCGGCCTCGACCGCCTCGTAGTGCAGCAGGTCCTGGGACTCCTGGATGGGGGCCGTGGGGCAGGCAGGAGGGGGGGAGGATCGAAGACTTCAGGGCTCCAGGATGGAGGATTCCAGGATGCGCCCCGACGATCAAGAAACAAAATTGGGCATGGACGGTTGAACGAGCAGGCCATTATTCTCGTCCGGGCCGCTGGCTGCGGCCTGGCGGCCTCAGCGGCGGCGAAGACGAGGCGGGGCAATGTTTGAATCGCTCAGCCTCGGGGGACTTGCTTCGCGGAGGCCCCTGGAGACCTCCACAGAGGGAGGCGGACGGACTTGTTTGAACCCCACGTCCTATTCGTTGCTCGTCGCTGAGACAGGCAACGGCGAACGATGCAAGAGTGGGCGCTCGCAAGGACCTGCCAGCCTGTGGCTGCAAGAGGGCCCCGGGGCCATGGTCATCACCCCCCACGCGTCAGTCATCGCCATCCTCCGCAGCGAGCGTTCGCCCGAGGGCCGAGGTGGGCTGCCTGCCCTCGGCCGCACCAGCCCCCCGTCAAGCCCCTTCGCCCAGGAACACCTCCTCCTCCTCCTCCTCCTCCTCCTCCTCCGCGCAGGAACACCTCACCTCGCCCGTCCTCCTCCTCATCGTCACCATCGCCGCCACCATCACCAACACTAGGTGCATCCAAACGTAGGACTGGGGTCATGATTTGGCTCCAGGTGCCCAACACGTAGAACTGCCGCCACTAGTTGGCCAATCGGGCGCCCAAACGTAAAACTGTCGTCACCTGGTGGTTCCCCTTACAACATCCAACCGCATGGTTCCTTTTAGAAACGGGCATCGAAACATTCCGTAATGACACTGTAAAAGTCGACCTCTGCTCCACCTTGCACTGCAGGAGCCATCTGGTCTTGACAATCTCAGGGCCCCAGGGCTTACGTAAGACCAGGCGCTGCAAAGTCTTGCTCCCCCTCCTCCTCCGTCTCCTCTTGCCACCTCCAGCGCCTCCCACTTTGCGTTTCTACCCTAGAGGCCGCGACCGGAATACCCATCAGAAGCCATGGAGGGTCGGTATGGGGCACACTCTGCGTGGTCACAGCCTTATGGCTCTCGCCACCCCAGACCCTCCAGGGCCTCTCAGGATCGAATGCTTCGGGCCTGGATCCCGAATTCCTTGATCCCCAGGGGCGCGTCGCGTGCCCCCGCTACATTTTTTTCTCCGGGGAAGCCAGAGCGTCCCAAGACGGGCAACGAGGGCCCCAGCGGGCCCCCAAGACGGTCCAAGGGGGCCCCGAATCGGTCCAAGGGCGCCCAAAGATGCCGAAGATAGCCTCAAGACGGCCCAAGGGGCCTCCAAGATGCCCGAGAGAATTCCAAGAGCCTTCCCAAACGGATCTCAAGAGGCCAACATCATTGAAGTCCCATCGGCTTGAACGTATTTGACCCTTCTCGCCATTTCGGGCTCCCGACGCTACAGAAACTGGCCAAGAGGCTCCCAAGAACGTCCCTGTAGGTCCCCAAGACGGCCAAAAAGGGCCCCAAGAGAGCCCCAAGAAGAGAAGGCTCGAATCGGCACTTCGAGCCCTCCGCCCCAAGAAAAATCCCGAAGCCACCAGCAAGCCCGAAGAGGCCCCCTAGAGACGCCCCCCAAGAGATCCCCACAAACACCCAATAAACCTATGATTCACAACCCAGGCACGATTCCTTGACGGGCCGAAGACCACGATGGTATACATACATGTGTCTATCTATCTTGCTATCCATCTATACACACATATATATATATATATATATACATACATATATATATATATATATATATATATATATATATATATAAAAATATAAATATGCACACATGCTCACTGTGTGGAACGGAGGGCTGGGCTCGACGGTCGTGCACAACATCTTGGTACCAAGTGCGCACCCCCAACTGCAGCCGTGGGGGTGCGCGCACAAAAATTCCAAGCAAGACTCACAGAGAGACGCGGGGGAGGAGAGGAGGAGGAGGAAGAGCTTGAGCCGAGCATGGCGACGGCACGGACGTGCTCGTGCTTCGCCGCGCAGCGGCCATCCTGCAGTTGCGCAACACCGTTTGGAAAAACTAAGTTATGCACACATGCTTCCTACCAACTGAAACTGAAAGAAAGGCTCAGACCTGAGGGTCCGAGCCAAGGGGCCCCAGGGGCCCACTGGAACCTCACCTTTTTCATCTTTTACTCTGCGTGGAACGGAGGGCTGGGCTCGACGGTCGTGCACAACATCTTGGTACCAAGTGCGCACCCATTTCCATTCTGGATGCCCTGGCAGCCGCCCATGACCATCTCGAAACCACAGTCAACATTCTCTGATGTTCCAGCGCATCCCGCGGACTGAACCAACCATTTGGCGAGGCCAAGAGCGAAACGTGATGGGTAGGTCTCAGCCAGCCGTGACCGACAGATGCTAGTGCCTGGAATCTTGCCCTGGAGCTCAACGTGTCGCATGTGACTGAAGCTGCACAAGCCCTTGCGTCCCTGGCATCGACGGGGCATGGAGGGTGGTGGCAGACGCACGTTCCAGCCCGCAAGCTTGGTGGGCTTCCTCCACGGGCTGCCGAAGGCACACATGTCAACGATTGAAATCCTGCAGCTCGGCCTCGCCAACAAGGGAGACAACGTGGGGTGAGACCAAGCCATAGACGATGCGGGGTTCTCCAGTAGCGCTGGCACTCCAGCGCGCAAGCAAGCGGACAAGAGGAGCAGCATCCCACGGAAGGTGGCGTTGCCTGCGTCCACTTTCGCCTGCTGCGCCAGAGTCAAGCCCGGTCGACCGTCCAAGAATTCAAGGTTACGATAAAGAAAATGAGAAGCCATCGACCACGTAGTACAAGGGAATGCAATCATGACTCCTCTCACCACTCGGCTGCTGATCCATCCAACCAGCAGTTTGATCAGATTCGGGTCTGTCATATCCATGGCCACAGAATCTTTGAGATCGATGAGGATACAACCGAAATCTGAAACACGACGAATTGAATTGGCAACCTTCCCAGCACCAGAGAAGACATCAAGATGCACCTGTGAGTGACGAAGTCCTCGAGACAGCTCCTCCCGCAAGATCCTGGACATCAAGCGTCGGACAGCTGGCCCACTGATGCGATCAACGCGCACGACCACGTCACCGTCGCGATGCACAAGATCCCCTTTCAGAGCAGAGCCTCGCCCTGCTGCCCGCGCCGACGCTCGGGGGCGCAGGCCCAGGCCGGGGGGGGCCTTTGCCCGGTCACGAGCTCGCTGAAGTGGGCCTCCACGTCGCTCGCGAAGTCCCTGAGCTCTCGCGACACCTTCCCGAGCTCGGCCAGGTAGCGAGTGTGCTTCTGATGGCGGGCTGTGCTGGCGACGGCGGCGTGGCGAAGCCGCTCTTGGACTTCTGGCAACGTCCGCCGTCTGTGGAAGATGTCGTGACTTGCTGACCCGTGGCGGATCTGATACGGATGGAGCCGCGGCCACCCGATGGCCTCGGCTGCGGCCTTGAACCGCTGTCAGAACTGGTGCGCCGAGAAGCCCCACACTTTGCTGTCGTCCGCAGCCTGAGCCTCGAGCCTCCGCAGCACCCCGCCGATGGACAGCACGGCCGCGGAGTCCAGGAGCATGCCCTCGTCGTGGCCGCCCACCTTGCTGCGGCCCATCCCCTCCTCTGGGTACAGGAGGAGCCCCCGGCACCGGTTGGGGCTCCCGCTCGCAGGCGGCACGAGGCTGCGACCGGTCATGCTCATCAGATCGACCGGGGCCCGCAGCGCCCCGCCCCACGCTATCGCGAGAGCGATGCTGAACTCCAGCGGGGCAAAGTGGAGACTGACGCCGATGATCGCGAACAGCAGTGGCTCCGGCATGGGGGTTCGAAGGCGCCCTCTGGCCAGCCGGCGGAACCCCTTCAAGGCCGCCCGAAGTCGGACAGGATCTCTTGGCCCGTGCCGAACAGCCTGGGGGTCGTGCCAACCGATGGACGCCAACAACTTGTCGCCGCGCTCGTGGTTGTAGCCCGCGAAGTAGAGCCAGTCCACGTACTGGGCCGCGGCCCGATCCAGCGGGTCGCCCAGCTCGACGGGCAGCCTCCGCTCCAAGCACCACTGCTGAAACTCCTCCCACTCCTTCGTCAGGTAACGGGCGGTCCCCTTCCTGACGCGGTGGGCCTGCAGGAAGGTGAGGTTGCTCGGCTCCAGGTCGCCGAGAGGCGCGCTCGCAGCACGCCTTGCCGCCCCTCGCCGGGCCACTCGAAGACTCATAGAGCGGCCCGTCCGAGGAGGCGGCCGACGGGGCGTCGTGGCGGCCGAGGCCATCCCCCCGAGCGATGGGGTCGTCGTCCAAGCCGTCGAGCTCGTCGCCCGTAGCTGAGCTGCTCGAGGAACACGAGGCCTCATCAGGCGGCCCCCCGTCACTTCCCCGTTCGCCGGGGTGGGAGCCCTGGAAGCCCCTCTCGAGGTCGGCCGGACCAGCCGCCCGCTCCTGACCTCCATGGCTCGAGCAGCCCGAAGTGCCGAGAGCAAGATCCTCGATCGCGTCCTTGAGCCGAGCCTTGGTTACGTCAGCATACAGGCCAGGAGGAACTGATGCACGTCCTGGAACAGCCCCGGCATCACCAGGGGCGCCTGGGAGTCGAAACGCAGCATGTCGCCGATCGAGTCGGGGATCCTGGACAACCTGACCCGGCATTCGAGACGGCCGATCGGCGGGGTTCAACTCCGAGGGTATCCAGCGAACGACGATGTCGAGGTCCCCCATGATACTAAGGGCGCACAGCTGGCGGCACGTGCGGTTCATGGACTGGGGCGCGGCACGCCCCTTCCCCGAAGCCAGGGCGACCGGGAGGTTGTCGACTAACGCCAGTATCCTGGACCCACGAGACCTCAACGCCCTAGCTCGATGACGAACTCCAACAAGTAGCCCCCGTCCCTCGAGTCGACCGATGTGCTCGGAGCCCCAGAACCTACCCTTGACCAAGAGCTTCCAATCCTCCTCCACCCCAACATCCACCTCGGTCAACTGAGTAAACGACGTAGTACCTCGGCGGCGTC